GGACAAGTCGGCCGTAGCTGAACACAGCATCGAACTGGGACACCGCATTCAGCTTCAGAATACCTCCATCCTCGCCACCAAGACGCGCTATATGGATCGCATCATTAGGGAAGCCATTGAGATCGAACTGCATCCAGGGAATATGAACAGAGAGGATGGGTTTCGTCTCAGCAAGTCTTGGAAACCTCTTATCTGTTCTCTTAAAAAACCCCCCACCGGGATATGACGCCAGATCCGGAAAGCCACAAGGCCATGACCAACCAACATAACAACCCCCCCCCCCTCAGCTTACAGTTAAAGACCAGCCCTTTAACCTTGCTACACTCTCCCCTACACAAAATCACGCTTGTCCCAGCTCCCTTTCCCCCACCCCTCCCACACCACTGCTTTCACTTGTTTACTTGCAGTTCATCCCCTTCCCTCTCTGCTCTAACGGTATATTCTTTAGTCTGCTTTACCGTGTCTCACGGTGTTGTCGCTTGCAGATTTACTTATACTTTTTCTTCAACCCTGAAGATGGGGGCGATACGTTCCTCCGAAACGTCGGTTAACACCACATATACACGGTGCCAAATCCCAGAAGACTGCTTTCTTCATAGTCACCGCCGTGAAAGCCTCAAATCTTACATTCTTAATTTGTTTTCTAAGTTTTTTTATCTGGCAGGGCTATCTTTTGCTTCACTAATCCAGAGTATTGCTTAATCTGGATGACCTCCCCAAATTAATCTGGATTAGTGAGGTTACTGTGTTTTCCATCAAATGGTGGATTGAATGGTGAATAATGAATTGGATAGGATTTTGAAGGAAGCAGTTGTTGTCTGATCAAGGCAGTATCCTGGAATTTGATTAAAAGGACTGAAGGAAACTATGAAGACCCTCAGACAGGATAGCCAGTGTTCTCTCTGAGATTCAAACCAAGCATCTCCTGGTATGGTGATTTTTGTTCCTACTGTATGCTGTAAATATTATCTAGGCTCTACATCACTAACTGATGATAAAAGACACCTCAAAGATATTTTAGACAGAATAATTTTCTGATTTTTGTGAACCTCACAATGAACGTCAGTCATGGAAACCTTCCCAATTTTAATGCATTTAAATTCACAGTCAACAATGAAACATATGATGGTCGTGTGGGTCTGTGAGGTGGGAAACACACTAGCTTCATGGTGATTGACTGCTGTAACTTCAGTAAGGCGATTTCATATAAACATAACATGGTAACTGTAGAGCACATTCGCTACAGATTAAACATGAGGCTGTCACAGTGAAGATTACGAAGATTATTGTCTTTAGGATTGTGACACCTTGAAGTCTGGTACTCTCTGCCTCAGTCTTCAGGGTGGATTCTTCTCCCATGCTGGTGAAGGCAGCAGGTTTCCTTGAAACTGGTAAATATCTATCACATTCCAAGAAAATTGGAAATTTCACACTATAGGTCACTTGATGCTCTGTCAATTGTAGAGGTGAATGAGATGCAACGATGGTTGTACACTGGAAGGTACTGAGGAAAATCATATGCACTCACCCACAATTCCAGTGTTGGTGACTAGTTGCAGCAGGGATGGGAATTGTGTGTTAATTAGCCAAGATTGTAGTTTAGTGCCAACAGCTGATCCAAGCAACATCTTGTAGCCATTCACTGTAAGCACAGGCCTGACTTCTGGGGGTACCCTCAGGTGAATACTGATATTGCTGGAAAGCACAGATGCCATCTTGGAGGGCAGGAAGTCCCTTACAGCATCCATCCATGCAGGATGCTGCAGAAAGAACATTGCAATTACAGTCCAACCTTACTGCAGTTCTGTGTGTTGACCCAGAAGCAATTTGTATCAGGTTTAGTTGTATCTATATGTTGAAGCTGTTCCAGTGTTTTGACATATATTGCAGTTGTAATTTTCAGTGTGAATGATGTAGATGGAGGATAGTGCCTGGTACACAAATCTTGCGCTGGTAGGAAGTGTTGGAATGTACTTCCACTGAAAGACCTATATAATGAGCTACTGCCTCCATCCTCCTCAATCAACCTGAAAATGACAACTATAACATAAGCCAAAACACTGGGTCATCTCCAACACATGACATAGCTGAAAGCCCTATAGCCAAAAGATACACATTAGAAGCAGGCTGCAAAACTTATGGACAAGATTTATGTATTGTCCTTTGTCGGGTGTAAAAGTAAAGGTAAAGTTGTCTCTGTGCTTAACTAATTAAGCACCAGGCCATGAAGACATATGGGGGAGTGGATGTACAGATCCACATTTTCTTGACCTCGGCACTAGTTGGAGTTGAGTGGTGAGCTTCACGCCCCAGCTGCTTTACTCCTGGGGAAAAGAGTTCCTCTACCCATTGGATAGGAAGCTGGGTGGAGCCCAGAGCTGGTCTGGACAACGTGGAGAAGAGAATATTCTTGACCTCACTGGAACTCAAACTCCAACCCCTGGGTAGTCCAGCCCATAGCCAGTCGCTATACTGACTACGCTATCCCAGCTCCTTTGTCTGGGATTTATGAAGGAGAAGATCACTGCATATAATTTGACATTCTCACATCAATGGTTATGAAGAGTTATATCTTCTGGTATGTAATGCCACACCATTCTTCAAAAGCCAACCCATCTTTTAGAGGATCATGTCACCTCCATCACCAGGGCTGAAGAGTGAGCCAAGCAAGAAACCAGTAACAGACAACATGCAAAGCACGTGGCTTGCAAAAACGTGGGATTATATAGACCTTGGAAGCCAATCCATCAGCTCCCATTGGCTGTATCAGAGAAACAAGGTGATCAAATAGGAGATGGGAGAAAAGTGACTGGGTTTGAACTTTACAAGGGCTGGTACAAATTGGGGTCATGGAGGACAGAGGCTGTGTGTGAGCAGAGGTAGTTGATGAAGGTCTGTGAAGGAAGGTAAGGCTTAGGGCTGATGTGTGCCCTTGAAAGGCAGTGTGCCTGGACCTGCATGGCTGTGTGGAGAACCCTACAGAATTCTGAGAGGGAGGCTGCCAGCGATCTTTCAGCATACAGGGGAGATAAGGGGTTTTCATGATTTAGTGAGGCAGAAGCCATCCTCAATGTTCCTATTATTGTTGTGTTTATTATTTTTCAACATTGAACATGGAAGCAATATGTTCCTCCAGAATGTTGACTGACTTTCAACAGACTATATGCCATTATATCCCTGAAGAGAGATCTCTAGAAAATCATCATTTGAAGTATGCGCTTAATGTAAGGGCCACTGTGGTTCATACACAGAAGTCTACCTTTTGCAGCCAGAAGTTCATGTAAATAATTTTACATGGGACGTTTCAACTGTTATGCTTCTATAATGATAAAGAAGTAAGAAAAACATCAAGTATAACACTTGGTAGTCAAGAAATTTACTTATTGTACAGAATATGCCTTACATATTTCAGCACTATGGGGCCATCATCAGAGACGTCATGTTAAAGAGGAGATTTCTTAGTGCACATTAATTTCTAGAAGTAACATCTACATTGAAATCCCTTTATAATTGAAAGTGTAGACAGTTCTCTGATTATGTATAAATTGCCGATGGACTGCATAATTTGTAGATATTCTGACATCTATTGATGTTACTTTTTGTATGTAGATTTCATGTAGAACATGCTACATATATTATATTACTGCTTCAGTGCCGGTCCAGCCCACATTTCAGTGCACGGTGTGCTGTGCTAATGTGTTGTTGGTGCCTGGGGTGGTGCTCATCTAAGTAATATTTAGAAATGCAGTTCCAATCTGACAGAAAAAAAAATGTGTCTTCATTTAATGCTGTTTATGGAAATAGTCGTTGTTTACTGTGAGAATTATATGAGGCACATAAATTCACAGTGAAGGCAAAATACATGGTTTCTTAATGGTAAAGCTGGTGTTAACATTGTTACCATTATGGTTTAAAGGGTTAAAGAGGTAAGGGACTTCTGAGGTGACTCCAGCACAAATTAAGTGCATGTGGTTCCTCTTAAATATGTAACTTTAATGTAATTTTGCTGTGTGATAACTGTACTCACATTCCTGGAACTGATGGATATGTTGTAATACCGCAGGGTTGCCAACTCATATGCCACTTCATAGCACGCTCGTGTCAGGGGCATATAATGGCTGCCCCACTGGTGCACATCCTGCATGTCCTGCTGGCACATGTTGTATGGCCATACAGTGGCTTTGGAGGTCAGGTTCAACTGTTCTGTGGTCACCTGCCCATCTAGCAGAACTTGTAAACTTGAAGAACAGGGGCACTGTCCCCCATCAATGGGGAGACCCCAGACAGCAGTCAGCATCGCAGAAGCAGACTGAAGTCTTGGGTGAGTCAGAGAGATCACAGTGTCTGGGGGCTCTGTGAAGTTGACTGTCAGGTTAACACACACCTGTGGGGCACAGAAATGAGACGTTTGATCAGAAAGTAGGCAAGAAGATAATATTAAAATGGTGACTGTGTTCATCATATTGCACAACAGTTCTTGCCTTGTCTCTGCCCTGGATGGTGAGCTCTGCAGTGAGTCTATGTTTTCTGAAGGCAGGAGAATGCTCATACAGGATGCCCAGGTCCCAGTCAGGCAAGGTGCTACTCACTGGAGCTCGAATCACACCAATCTGTAATCTATATTCTCCAGCAGGCAGTGGCTCAAATGGTATGTCCAGATGTTCCACTGTCTGGCCTTGAATGCTAACCTCCACCTTGAAGAATGACAGACGAATCCAAACAATTCTTAATTTTGAAACTGTCATTAATAAAACCGATTTAAATGCTTTTTATTAGAAATATGGAAAGAGTGTAATGAATCACACCTCAGTGGGCTGTGTCCTGATGGGTGATACTCTTGCCAACAGCCCACAGTTGCTAGTATGGGGCAGCAATAGCAAGTAGTCCAAGAGGTGCAGTAGCTTGAGCAGGGGACTGCTGGCAGGGAACACATGGTAGTTATGGTGTTCTGTCACGTGATGTATCAGCGCTGTAAACTCATCCTCAGTGGATGAGTGCTCACAGTCCAGGAGTGACAGCTCAAACTTCAAGCCAGACATCTCCAACTGAAGCAGGTTTTGCTGAATTCATAAGCACACTGTTATGTTCCAGCTCTGTCTGCCTAACCACATTGTTCGATGTTACACATTTCAATGTCTCTGCAATGGCTGGCAGAAAACTCCTTTTACTCCCACTGTTACATTTCTCTAAATGTTTCCAATTCAGGAACATGACAAATTTACAGAAGTCACTGGTAAGATATTTACTCATGTAATGCATAAAAAGAAGACAAAATTGTCCCTGAACCTAACTAATTAAGCATTATGCCATGAAGAGGTATGGGGGAGTGGATGTATAGAACCATGTACTCTTGACCTTGGCACTTGTTGGAGGTGAGTGGTCAGCTTCATGCCCTGGCTGCTTAATCCCTGGGGTAAGAGCCTCCAGTACCCATTGGATAGGAGGCTGGGTGGGTTTCAGAGCCGGTCCAGATGAAGTGGAGAGGAGAAAACTCTTGCCTGTGCTTGGACTTGAACACCAACTCCATGGCTGTCCAGCCTATAGCCAGTCACTATACTGACTGCACTATCCTGGGAGTCATGTAAAGCATATACGAATTTATTCTTTACCATTTAATATCCTCCCCTAACTCTGTCATGGTTCTTTGTTCAGTTTTTGACACTGATTACTTTCTGTGCATTGAACCGGTCAACTGGATCAACATGTTGTTATTTAATTGTCAGACCTTATATTTAATTTTTCTGTAATTTAATAAGAAAAGACCTGCATCATCAGAAGTGTGTTTCCTGAGGTCTGTGGGATACAACCTTCTGGACCATAAAAGAAATGAAGACAGCATTGTAAACTCCACAAATAACAGAATTTACACAGCAATATGGAAGGAACTGGAAATAACACAGCAACAAACTGAACTGCGGAAGGGCTCAAAAGTTCAACTTAAAATATCAAACAAAATGAAAGAGAAATTTGAGAAGATATATGGGATGATTCTCTTCCATATGACAAATTTTCAGCGCGTTAAAAGAGGACATGGAGGTAGGGCACCAATCACCCATGCAGACATGGTGCTTAGACATGGAGGTGATGGTGATGCACTCACCAGCAGGGAATGCGGAGTGTTCCTTGTGACCGACATGTGCGCAGGACAGGTTGCACAGTGGGACTTCAGCTTTGTGGCTACTGCAACGCCTTTCACAAACACGGCAGTGTGGATGTGAGTCACTAGACCAACTTCCTCTCCTGTACAAGCACCAAGAGCAGAAAACTGTGAACATGTTGCACCCTACAAAACTATTTCCTCTCACATTCCATTCAGTTTTCACCACTGAAAAGTGTTCTTAATGAGATGCATGTTTCAAGCCAGGGACCAATCTTCTTTGTGCAGCCCCCTGAACACTGCAACCAGCCATGTGCTGAATCAGACAGGAAGTCCCAGCTTAAAGGCCAAGGATATGATAATGTGCTGCCTAGTTAGGGCTATCACGCATCTCAAGGGGCAGCGACAGATGGAAATGGAGCAATGGTGAAATGACAATTAGCAGGGACTCACCAAAGAAACCTGCTCCAATGTCACTTTGTCCACTACCAATTTCATATGAAGTCACCTGGGATTGAACCCAAACCCTCTACAGTGACAAGCTAGTGTCTATCTGCCTGACATAGGACATGGTCTAATACTAGGTACATACAAATAAAAAAAAAATTATATAATTTGATTTGAGATCAATATAAAAATGGGGATTATACTGGACTGATAAAAACAAAAATTAAAGTCATGAGTACAGACTTCTGGGAAGTGATTGCTGTAGTTAGGTAAAATGGAATATCTCAAAATGAAACTTATTCTACACATTTTGTTAGACCCAAGAAAATATCAAATACAATCAACAACTGTCAGTAGCTTTAGGGCTACAGCAGACAGATATGACTCCCCATTACACAGCTAGTGCAACTCATGTCTGTAATATAGTTTCACAACTCAGAGCACAGTGGGCCGTACCTGGTGTCTGCTGGAAGGAAAATTTGATGCTTTGCTCTGTAGCGTTGGAAGACACCCGCAGACTGAAAGGGACGTTCATTTGTATATTCAGTGATCGCTGAACACCATGCCACATGTTCAGGACTGGGTTGTATTGTATAAATGATGTCTGGGAGTTGATCATTGAACTGTAAAACGTTTATCAATTGTTCAATCAAAGTGCATCAAGTGCAGGAGAATGGGGAATGCAATAACATGACTTTGATTCTGTGTTAGAACCAAAGTTCTTATAAAAGTGAACTGTAAGATTACCACGTTCTGGGATGAAAGGCGCATGGCAGGTAGGTACATTTCAGAGGAACCCACTGCCTCTTCTGCACTGAAGATGGAGGCAGTGGGTCCCTCTGAAACACTCACTCCTGTCCGCCATGACATACGACATCATGTCCCAGAGGACAGTAGTCTTGATCTGTATGTCAAATAAAACTCTATTCCAACTATTAAAGTTATAAATAACATGATCCTAGGCTGTTGTGGCATACTTAAAGTATACTTACTTAGGGAAACAGGAGAATTACTATCTCCAACAGAAATGACAACCTACTGAGACTCAAACCAGTACTTCCTCAACATGCGTTTGCCGTGTGTGGATGCTGGGGCAGGAAGGAGATGATCCAGGTAGTCTTTCCTATACTGGACTGAGGAAAACAACAAAATCTGTGGATCTGACATTCAGTGCTGCACAATTGGGTTCCTGCACATGACAGACATGCAGTGCCATTGCTCACAAAGGCTCGCCTGTCCTGAAGGCCATTTCACATTTGCTACTAGTGTCGTGATACTGTCGGCATCAAGGTGACTTCTGAAGTGACGTATGTTTCTACCTGCATATCCTGAATGATCTTTGTGCCAGTTAGGAACTCTCCTTCCTACATACAGATTTGTCCAGTAAACAATATTGACTTGGTGGCCATATATACTTTTTCAAATCTGTGGGTAAATAACTAATGAACTACAAATGTTAAAACTGATACAGCAACAGACATAATTGCACCAGACCATTCACATGGTAAAATTACAGCCGTTTCAGATTATGTCATGGCAGAGGAGGAAATGGAATTTACAGCAGTGGATGCTGTTTTCAGCAACACTGACATATAACTGCCACTTGCCTCCAGACTCACCGCAGTTCTAGATCGCTTGACAGCATCTGGCTGGCAGTGAAGTTGGCGCGAACAGACATCAGGCCTCCTGCCGATGTCTGCAGGAATGCGTTTGTGCCAAGGTCCGTCACTCGCATTTCTTCAACCAGGAACGGCATGATGACATTCTGTGCATTGAGGTGAATGCCGCCAATTGCCAGCAGCTGCACATTTCTCAGGACTGGAACATGACAGATGGGAAAACAAACATGTGATCCATGTGATTGGTGTGCACTTCAGGGTTTTGTTGGATAAGAACTTGTGTGTAAAAACAATTTATTTGTAGAATGTAATCTTGTGGGATGTGATGTCATCTAGTCTTGTAAACTTCTATCAGATTCTGTGATACCACATCCCACAAAACTTTAGTGGTCACAATCTGTCCTGCTGTGTGGTTTATTTAGCTGTCCTCACCTTTGAAGAATGAGTTCAGAGTGCTCTGGTTTGCATAGTGAACCACTACAGCTTTGTTTTGGGCTCTGACCAACAGCTCCACATGGACCGGCTCTGACGGCTTGATTGGTACCTCCAGTTGGTGCAGCAGGGTTACCAGCTCTGTGAAGTTGAATGACCTGGCCTGCAGGAGCTGTCGCTTTATGGTATCCTCCACTCCGTCCAGCCTGATGTAGATCTGAGAAGCAAGACTACAACTGGCAGCAGATTGTAACATCTTCTACTTATATTTCAGACTACCATTTGGAAGTCACTGTCATCAGACAGTGCTATGGCCTCGCTACGATTGCAGTACTTTCCAATTTACTGCACAGCAGAGTGAAAGCATGAGGAACCACAATTGTGACTAACAGCCTTGCTGCCTGAACCTGTGCTGAAATGCAGATAATGTTATATTTTAGTGTCCTGTTGCACTGATTTATGTCCATGATTTATTCTGACCGTCTTACAGTGCATACATTTATTCACCTCACTCTTCTCTCTTGCACTACATGTTTCAGCACTAAAGTGCCATCTTCAGGTGCTTTTCTATGTACGTCGAACTACTTCATTGCATGCCCTGTTGTCTTTATACTAAAATGACTAAAATATATATAACACATGCAGTCACAGGAGCAAGACACAACACAAAGCACAATACACACATGAAAGTAGGAAGAATGCTCTGATGGAAGAAGATAGGTGTGACTTGCATATTGAGATACGACATAAGAATGACAAATCCTGAACAGTTTTAATATTTAAAATTTATCATTATATATGGAGAATATATATTTTAGTCATTTTAGTATAAAGACAACAGGGCATGCAATGAAGTAGTTCGACGTACATAGAAAAGCACCTGAAGATGGCACTTTAGTGCTGAAACATGTAGTGCAAGAGAAAAGAGTGAGGTGAATAAATGTATGCACTGTAAGACAGTCAGAATAAATCATGAAATGCAGATAGTTGCAATGTTGATGTATGAGGCTTAGAATAATCCTCAAACACTTCCTTTCCAATTCACCACCTGCAGTTAACATATTTCCCATTTGACACCATAGAGCCTCCTCAGTTGACCAAATGACATTTAACAGACCAAGAAATTGAAACACTGTACTTGGAGATGCATCATCAAACAAGCAACCTGACAGTTGCAATCTGACACACAATGAAGACAGGTGCAGAAATGCAAAAGGTGAATAAACCCATAAAATAAAGGAAACCAGACTGGGGAAGCACAGAAATAAACAGTAGAGAACATCACAACAGCTAGTTGCAAACAGTATGGCTGTTCCATAAGGAAATTAAATGGGAGCAGATATAGAATTAACACTCATATTATAGCATTATAATTGCAATAATGGACACCAACATGAATATTATTTATATATAAGATATTTAAGTATAACATAAAAAGCAACATTTTAATATCTGTCTGGGCATATTTTATAACTTAAACAAATTTTAACATTGAAAACATTATTATGTTAGGGAGCAAATGGATGAAGCCCTAAATGACACTGAGCATAAGAGTTGTGCAGCCTGTTATGTAACCACTGATAATTGAAGACTTTTGGCATATCTTATATTAAAAGTTAAATGCAAATGAAAGAATAATGATTGATATATCCAAAAATGGTGTTTATTTTATTCCCAAAAATGAAATTGTACATTGTTTAAACATGTAATAACTTTCCTAATTTTACAGACTTTCAACTGCCTGTCACAGCTAAACCGTAAGAGATGGATTGGCTATATTGTGAATGAAATTTTTGATACATGAGAGTTTCTCAAAAATGCAATCTGTTTTGGTCCATCTCTTACTGTTTAGGGGTTATGACAATTTGTTTGTAACAAATATGGCTAATTCAGTTCCTCTGTTTAGGGGACAATTTATCCTGCATGAACTATGTGGCATACTTTAGCTATCATAGACCTATCTTAAGCTCAACCAATCAGCAAACTCCTCAACTCACCAATGTAACTACAAACTAAATGCTTTGGGTAATTTAAATAAATAATGTGCTGTACATATAGTAAAGCTTCAATATTAATGTACAAAGTAGATTTATTCCAACATAAATTCCAATTCAATAATGTTTTCAAAATTAATTCAAATTAACTTTCGTTCCAATTTTAATATATTTATAAGAATGGTATTAATTCAGACGAAATGTTGAATGTATTAACTATGTGGAAAGTCAAATACATTGGTGATAGTTATTATATTGTAATACATGAATTCATACAAAACGCAATTCAACAGTTTGAGAATATTTGTTAATGTATACTGCCTGAGGATGGCTTCTGAAGCTGAAACATGTAGCACAATGTCACACCATTTGGACCAATGAACTCAGCGCACACAGGGTATGTGAATCAGATTTTAACAGTTGTTGTGTTCAGATGGAAAAGACAATAATGAAGTATAAGCAATAGAAACTTACAGTACAGTCCATCCCCAAAGCAAGTAACTAACTGGAACCCAGTATGAACATCATACTCACAGAGGTCACCATGGTGTTATTGGTTAGGATAGATAGTTTCTCCATTGACTTAATACAGTTATGACACTCACGCTAAATTGATTATAGCTGAAGTCCTTGGTGTGACTGCCAACATCCTGGTAGAATACATTTGGTAGTCCTGTTCTAGGGTTGGCCACCATGATGAGGTGGGCCAGAAATCCAAACCTATAATCTGGGTCCGTGTAATCCAACATGTAGTTTCCAGTGGCCCAGTGGTGTACCTCTGGCTCTGGAATGAACTGTACAAGCTTCTTGGCCTCCTCTCCCCTGTACATAAAGAATGGTGAGCACAACACCACAAGTTAATGCACAGCAAACTTTTGAGGCACCTGCCCCATGGGACAGAAAGGAACTTCCCACATATCTACAAAGACAACTGTTTGCGAAAACACTTTGGTGCTATGCTAGGGCTCAAGTGTTTCCTTCCCTTCCCTCCAAGCCCCCTCTGGCCTACATCAACCAGCCCAAAGCAACTTTCCACAGTGAATGTTATCACTACCCATGACAACTACCATGAACACAATGGCTAGACAACTGGAAGGGAATACAGAGCAGCATGCCCAAGGGGTAGCATAACAGCTCAAGAGAGATGCAAAGGAGAACATCCACCAGTACAGTCAGAAGGGAAAGCTGAGGTAACAGCAGCTTCTGTTTCTGGATGCAGTGAGCCTATGTAATCATTCTACAGGGTGAGTTTGGCTGCAAGTCAAACACACATTAAAAACAATTCTGTGTGCAGAACACAGGGAGAAATAAATCCCATCCTTTAAGTATATCATTATCAACTGACAGAGATTTTTAAATGATCTTACAAATATCACATGAATTTCTTGATTGCTCAGTATTAAACAAATTATCGATACAGGTTAAAGTTGGCCTTGTTTCCGCTCAGTATCTTCATGAAACTGTATGAAGTGATCAGGTTACACTCAGCATCACTTACAAGTGTCTGTAGCAGGGGTGACGGGTGTGCACCAGAGAGTGCAGTGTTGTGTACCAGAAGTGTTTCAGATGTGGATCCCGTTCGTGCATCATAAACAGCATCACGTTGTAGAGGTGAGTCGAGATCGGCTTTGACAGTATGAGTACAGTGAGGGCAGCCACTCGCACTTCCAGGTGCTCACTAGAGTTTGTCAGCAGCGGCCAGTACAGATAATGTGCCTGCAACATAACAAACCCTTCAGACTGAACGGTTGGATCACTGATCTGAGAGAAGAAGAGGGCTCAGTCACTGGATTTCCAGCTGCTGGGAGGAAGCAGCTGTCATCCATCAGGACCTCTGGTGAGGGAACTATGAGGAAAAAACTGGAAGAGGTCTCTGGATGCAACACAGTAGCCTCACCATCAAAATGAAGAAATGGTCTCACCAGCAGAAGCTGATCAGGAAGTGGAAGCCTCTTCTCAGAGACAGTACAGGTCCGGCTGTCTCTGTTGGTGAGTGACATGAGATCTGGGATACTGCAATGCCAGAAGTCCAAGAGAAGAGGACAATATTTCAGTGCCCAGTTCAGGTGAACATGAATCTGACCTCTATCTCTGTGTGAGTAGGGCTGATGTTCATGAAGTGGGCCTCAATATTGAGGGTTCTGGCCCTAGTTATGGCCAAGGCTCTTGAAGAGCTAGAGCAATACATGGGGCATACAATGGATCTAGTAGTGGTCTGAGGGCTCAGGGTGACTGGAGACAACCCCACCCCCCATACATACACACATTACTATTTTGTGACTTCATGAAATAATATTCAAACGCTGTAATCAATTTGAACTGTTTCTTTAACATCACATCTGTGAGAGAAGTAGCCAAATTAGCTAACCCCTGATTTATGACATTGATATAACACCAACATTGGTTTAATTTACATTACACTTTATGACAAAATGGATTCCACTGAACAGATTCAAACAGAACCAAAGTGACATTGTATCTGGTTTCTGATGTGACCCAGTATTAAGGCGCTGTTATTGAAGAGAGTTGTGTAGGTTTTTACATACAGTGCCTTATTAACCTCTAAGGGATGGGGTATTTAAATTCCGGTAATGGCCGCGGAACGGAGTTAATTTAAATGCCCGCCATTGTAGAGTAATAAAAATTGTAATCATGTTACTCAAAATGCTGTGATTTCTACAATTTTTGTGATAAACGAATGAAATAAAGGCTGCTTTTATCTAGAAAGAATATAGAATCAGATACTGTAATTTACAGATTTTAGAATCTGTAAAAATTGTTACATTGATTCCAAAAGAATTTTTCCCCAATTTTGAGCGTCTGTCCACAAAAATGCATAAAGCTTCTGCACAAAACGTTTCTGCAGTATAAATGCATGGTGCTGAAGCAATGGCTTACTGTCTTTTATCTGGCAATGTCAGGGGATGTTTACTACTGCACATTCTCCAGTCACGTCGTTGGCTTCCTGTAAACCCGGGTGTGGGCGAGTTCTTATCCTACAGGACCTCATGAAACTCTACTTGTTTATTCACGTATGTCAATATCCCCTCATTCCCCTTGCTTCCACATCCCTTCAGAATAAACTGTAATGCATTCTGGTGTTATTTACGAGCAGCCTCTTAATTTCGACTTCTTCAATGTGAAAAGGGGCCATGGTGCATAGTTGAAATTGCGATGTTTCATAAGCGTTATGAATAGAGGACACCACTTGCCATCACTGGTTTACTTCCTGCTAATACGATACTAACATTGAGTGTGCGCGCTTCGCGTGGAAAACAGAGTTAATTACGGATAAAGTGCATGAATTGTGACGTCGGACTCTGCATTCAGTGACATGCAACATTCAGTTAGATGATGCAGGAAGGAAGAGAGTCTACTTATAAAGCTGGTGTCCAAAAATAATGTAAGTAGAACAAGAATTTCTATCTTAAAATTAGATTTTAAAACACTGTGCACACGCGTGGACTGTGAGTCTCCATACGGTGTCTTTCGGCCAACTCAGCTTTACTTTAAAGGTCCCCATACGGTGTCTTTCGGCTCTCAAAGGTTAAACATAACAGGACAAGTGATTTGCATACAATGATACATAGCAGCAACTTGGAGAGTTTGCACATTAAACACAAAATAACTGACGTGGCAGATCAAGACTTTCAACTGGTACAAGATTAGAGACCAAGATCCATGTGATGCTCCATAGCACACCTGGTCTGGCTGCAGTGTGGCATGGCCCACACTGGTCCACATGGCCAGGATGCGGATGTGGCGCGAGTACTTTGTGTCGTCACCACTTATGATGGGTGCTAAAAACTGTGCCACTCGCTGCAGCTCAAAGTTGCTGAGTGCCTCCAGGTACAGCATCTGGCGTGCATGGTCCCTGCTGCCTGCAATACAAGAGCACAGTTCAGGTACAGATATCACACCATGTGCCTGAGAACACATTCAAGTAGGAGCCCACACACCTGTAAAGAGGTCCATGTATTGACCCACATACTTATCAAGGGTCTCTGGTGCACACTTGGCACTGCACACCTTATGCACGAGCGTGGCGAAGCTCAGCACTGCTGCCTGGTTCTCCAGCGTGTCCTCTGGGAGTGACAGCAGGACCTACACACAGCACCACGCATTTTCAACCGTGAATTTGCTACAACTGTGAGATAAGTTCTCAGTTTGTGTGCTACAACCTCCAGATCTGTGAGCAGCTCTTCGGATGGCTGACGGACGCTGAATGGGATGGAACTCAGCAGTTGAATGGACGTATCATTCTTGACAGTTCCCGTCATCACAAGGTCTCTCACCAGCATTATGGAGTCATGGGACCCAACAAGGGGCAGCATCTCGAGAAACAGGTTCCTGTTTCCAACATGACAGCACTTAGCAGTGTTACCAACACAAATACACTTCCAAGATTACTTGCTGGCTACCCAACAAACCTGAGTGTCTCATGCCGGTAGCTGGTGCCAACTTCCAGTTCCAGGTATAACTTCCAGAGGCTGGCCTGCTCCAGCATGGACAGTAAGTAGAGGGCATGTACCACATGCTCCTCGTGCAGCTTCTCCAGGTTTAGCTCCAGATGCTGCTCATCCAGGCCATCTGCTAGCTCCCCCAGGATCTCTATTACCTGCAAAACAAGCCTCTTAGTAACCAGTCCAAAGTGGTGATGCGCTGCAGTGCAAATGTGCAGGGTATGTACCGTTGTAAGCAGGTTCTTCTGGCTAGGGGGGCTCCGCCCCTGGGACACATCAGCTCCTGGCAGCTGGTGGGTCAGGCCCACTCTCTCACCACCTCCCTTCATAGTGAGGGGCATCACCATTTTGTCCTGCCACTGTAGGTGTAGGGTTATCCTGTAAAAGATGCCATTGGAATTCAGATAAGTGGGACAAATTATCTGTCTGCATGAAAGACAGTATGGGGAGAAGGTGCAGCAGAAGGGAAAGGGGGAAGAAATAAAGGAAAAGACTTACATTTAATTTGTGTTTCGCTCTTGGGGCTGGTGACACAACTACAGTCTTGCTAGAAGTCAGGCAATAGGCCATGCACCTACTCACCAGGACTGCAGGAAGTACGAGTTAGATTGTTGCAGGTGGGTGAGTCCATCAGCTTGAACACTGTGGATCAGCAGATGTCCGCCAGGACCCAACGGCTCCAGAACATAGGCACGCGTGCTGCCAGAACTTACAGTCTCCTGCAATGTATAGCATCTACACTGAACTCTGCATCTGATCAAGTGACTCTCTGGCAGCACTGTTGGACATGGTCATGAGTCAATTCCACCCATCTCACATCCTTACAACCTGATTCTGTAAAATCCATGTTAATATTATCCTCCCATCTCCATTTCTCTCTACCAAGTGGCCACTCTCCAACAGGTGTACCTTACTAAAACTCCTGTTGGCATTTTTTAACTCTCCAATCCTAGCTACATGTCATCTTATATTCCACTACTCTGACAACACAAGGTGACATAAAAACAAATCAAGTTCCTTGCTATGTCATCATAAACTGCCCACTTACTGCACCCACCTTAGCTTAAATATTCTGAGCCCTGTGAATTATGCTTTAACCCTAAGTAAGATACTACATTTCACTCCTGCAGAAAGTGTGATATCTTGATCTGTAATGGTTTGGGCAGTGGGCGGGACGATAAAGAGCTTGTGTGTACCTGGGGGACTCCTGAGGGGCACAGCATCCTTTGCACATTGCCAAAGCTTTGCACTGGAAAGTCCTCACAGCTGGGGAAGTCCACAAACTTTTGGACTGCCACTGTCCCGTTACTTTGGTTATGGACTGAATACTCAACTTTGCAGCAACCATATTGACTGCTCTGAAACAGGGCATGCAACAAACACTTTAGTTTTCCAAGGAGCCAGACATGACAGCTGTTAATACAAACATTTTTAACACCATCTTTCATGTTACCAGTTCACTAAAAGACGTTATGTGGTCACCATTTTATTCCTTTTAACTAAATAAAATTTGCAGTCTTCTGGGTTTGAACTTGAAGAAATTAATTTCATTTGTGATGAATTGAAAGTGTCAAGAAAGTGACAGTAATAGAAAATTAAAAGTAAAGTTATTCCTGTACTTTCAATCAAGCCATGAAGATGTATGGGAGAATAAAGTTACGGCTCCACACTTTCCCCACTCTGGAACTAGAGACAGCCGGGTACTCGAGTGCAGTCACTTTACCACTGGTGGAAAGAGACTTCAATACCCAATGTTTATGAGGCTTTTTGGGCCCCAAACCCTGTCTCAACACAATCAAGAAGAGAATAATCTTGGTGGGGGGGATTGAGCCCCAGGCGTCCAGCCCAGAGCCAGGCAGAATTCAATGGAAGAATGTGACAGAGTGCAATGACAACATCCACATCTTTGAGTGTTGCATTTGAGAGAGCAGTGTACCTCAGTGCTGACAAATGCAGGAGTGTGCATGTGTGACAAATCAAGCTGCAGCAGGCTTGCCAACCCTCGTTTCATATTGATGGCCCATTGTTCCTCTCCTGTGTTGATGGTCAGGCTTACCACCTGTCCTTCATGATAATGGATTATGAATGGTTGCAACAGTTGGCTGGCCTCCTCTGGTATTGGCACTTTCACTACTGGTGTGTCACTGATGCTTGGTCCATTGTATGCTGACACTTCAAGGTCTTGCAGCTGCAACATAATGCAGTACCAACTGAAGATGTCATTTATTGTCAGACAACATGTCATGAATGGGAAGATCTGGAAATTACTCAAGGGGACTGAGGAAATACACGAAAGGCCCATTGTTTTGTTAGCCTCCAGATGTGGTCTCTAGGAAGATCCTTGCAAATGCAAAAGAAAGGACCCTCACTATAGATGGGAGCACCCATGTAGCTAGCAGTTAGGAACTGAAGAGAAGCTGGCTCTGAAGCATGACCAGGGCGATACTGGCTGCGTCAGAAGTGAGGAAAAGAGAAATATCTACACTGAATGTGGTCGGTCTCAAACCCAGAACCTTGTACACACTCTCTGTCAGCCTATGCGTGCTCTCCAGGACACAATAGCTGGCACTAGCCAGCTGCATCATAGTCTGCTTGTATCACTAAAGTCAGCTAAACAGTCAGTTCCTACTTCTAAGGAATCACACCATGTCTATGTTACAAAGATCAGTTTTTGAAATAATCACTCTTTCTTTTGAAAAGTAAGCATAATCCATAAATGCATAATGTTGTCAAAATACCAAGTCAGTGAAGATTACAGCAGATGGTTCAAGTAGTTACCACTGAGGGAGCCAATCAGGAAGACAGAAGAACCTCAAATTTCACATTTATAATTCATACACTTTACCTAAAACTGTCATGCTAATCAAACCAAGAATATATAATGGATTACACATATAGCTCCTATTATGGGAAACAAGGAATGTGTACAGAAACGTGATGGTGAAAATCTCTGGAAAACATAAATTAGGAAGATAAAGAAGCAAACGGTATGGTAATATTAAAATCTATCTTAGGTAAACGGGATTATGATACTGACCTGCACTGTTGCCAGATCCTCAGCACCTTGCACGACAACCTTCCCAGACATGTTCCACTGTGATACTGTTGGTGCAGGGAACAATGTGACAGCTTCCAAACTGGTTTCCCACTGGTACACCACCTCGGTGCCTGGCAGCCACAGCTGCAAGGCAGAAACTGTACTGGCAACCACTGTCAGCAACAACACTGTAACACCAGCACATTCTGTCAACCACAGTAGCGATGACTGGGGGGCTGCAGGTTCCCTGAAACATCGGTACACATCTACCAGACTATACAGCATCCTATCCCAGAAGACAGAAAAGCCCAGAACAACTCAGTCAGTGACACGGCAGGACCACTCTTATTCAGTTGTTGGAAGAAACGGGGACATTTCTGCTCACCAGCACAGTGCCCACACTGACTCCAGGATACACAGATTCCTACTGGAAGGCCCTGCCATAAGAGAAGCCAGCCACCCAGATCCACCCAGTGCTGACATCTACAGAGCACACGGCCATTTCAACATCATAGTGTGGCACTTACACACAGGGATAATGTTTGTTACTGACATAATTAACTGTGAACACCAAATCAAAATTAATGCTTCTCAAAGATATTTCAGTGTACAAAAGTGGGTACATGATGCCGAAATATGTCTCTTATAGTTTGAGTGAAAGTGACCTCATGCCACATGAGTACGTAGCATTGCTGGAACGATAAACAGAAGGGAAAACTAAGTGCTTCGAGCAAAACCTACCTCAGTGTCACAAGGCCAACATGGTCTGTCCTGGGACTGGCCCTGTATATTTGTGGTGAGAAGCCGACGACTGATCACCTAAGCTATGGCATGGCCAAACACTCAGAAGTATTGGACTGCTTTAACTCCACTTTTGGGCAAAAATGAGATAATGCACTTCTCTCAGTTCCTGTATTTTGTTACTCTATCTCCACACACTTCCATAGCTTTACCCTTACTTGCAATTGTGAGATATCAAAACATATTTCATTGTGCGTCACATTTAGACTTTACATTCTACATTTATTATTTGTATTTATTTATTTATTATATTTAGACTGCAGTTAAGTCCCAAATGTCAAACACAGTTCCCCAAGAACTGGTACTAGTATCACACTCCAATATTGAAGTGATGACACGTATGTACAATTTCTATTTGAAATGTTTTTCCACATTTCATGAAATACAAGAAGATATTATCTCTCCTGCTGATTAACTCAGAAGAAGAGATTTGTACTTGCAGTGTAAGAATGTTGCTTCTTTCCAATGAAACAAAACATGATATATGTTCTGGTAAGAACTTTATGGACTGACTCTTTGCTACAGTAATTTAAAGGTCAGTTCAGTTAGCTTGGCTGTTCAGGGCATTTTATTAAACATATGTTCAGAAACATGACCACAAAAGTCTTTTATTGAATCCTGTCATGAATAGTCAACATTTCTGAGGCCTTATTGAGAAATCTGTAACATGCAGCTGGTAGCCACACACCCAATTCCTTACTTTGGAATACCATCCAGTTAGTTAACAATTACGACTTAGTAGCTACATAAATCATGAAGTTCCTTATTATGTAATACCCCTACATTTCCACGCACTGCATCCCACTTTGGTACAAATATTTTCCTACCTCCTGGTTCTCAAACATTTGTCACGTTTACATCTCACAGTAAGAAACTATGTGAAATGACATGCGAAGAATGTTACTGCTCTTGCTACAATTTAAATAAGTACTTCACACTGTTGTCAAGTTGGTATTGTACTTGGGAATTAGAGATATACAAAAATCAGATTACCTCCAGGTCAAGAAAGGTGGAGCTATACCTTGACTCCTCCCTGTCTTCATGCCATGGTTCTTAACTATGGACAGGAAAAACTTTACAATTTTACCCTCAACTGCATCATGCTCATAACTATGATGGAAGCAATCTTATTGATCTGCATGATGTTGTACAATTCCCTTCACATTTGCATACCAACAAAATTTGTTGTGTAAGTTCCAAAGGCCTGTACTACACACAGGGCTGTGCTTGCTTGGAATGTGTGGAAGCTGCTTACAAACTGGGAAACCAACAACCTCAGTGTCAAATGAATGTTACATGAATTAACAAAATGTATACTTGCAGTTTAAGTGTTCCCTTCCTCAATATTTGTGGCTTTGTAAACTTCAGCAAAAGAAAAGAACAGAAGAATAAAACTGCACTACACTAAAAACACAATGTGTAAAGAAGTGTAATCTGTTTGCCTGCAAAGTACTGGAAACTGCTCACCTGCTCTCCCCATCTCTTCCATGTTGTCTGATAGCTGCAGAACATGCTGCGTTCACAAGGCTGAGGGTCACAATGTTGGGCAGGGGCTACTGATAGCAAAGCCACGCTGTCGGGGGAACTTGAACTGTGTAACAGGTCCTGGCTCTGTGAGAGCTCCTCTTCTCAACTGCTGCTATGCCGTTATATCACTTACGTACTCCGACACAGTCTTTAGGCCACTGAACATGCAATAGATGTGCCACAACAAAGCCAAACATGGCATTTTCCTTTAAGATCCAAAATGAACGCTTAATATAGCTGGTGTTTGATCTCTCCAATACCGACACAATTTTTATAAGAACAGGAAGTAGAGGTCTACACCAAACACTGCCAGGCTAATGTTACTTTTATCCATCAATCAAACATAACTCTACAATTTGCAGCAAGACAAAATCAAGTACTCATCGTTTTTCTGAAAAAAAGCTCAATTGTACACAATGTGGCACAGACCAAAGAGCAACACATCACTACGATCCGGAAATTTCCTTGGAAATACTTCTTGCATGGTAGCTATTGAACATTATAAAAAGAAAACCATTTCTGACTGTACGGTGCAGTTACTTTTGCAATGACTAACTTCTGTATGCAACAAATGAACACCATGGGCAATGCTGCATCAGCTGCACCGGTTTCCTAGCATAATGAGATGTTGGCTGCATTCACTAGTCATTTGGCTCAGTTCCAGGGACACTGTTATATGATGTGACTGTACACACCAGTAAACAAGATAAGGGGGCAAAGGTCATAACATAATTCTAGGTAATGGGGGCAATGGACTCTATGCTGGGAAAATGACCCAAGTTGCAGCTGTATCAATGAGAGGGACTAAGGAAATCCACATACTATTATTTGAGCAGTCAAATTAAGACGAGCATGTAGGGTTGACACTTGGAACAGGAAGATAATATTAAAATGGGTGTTCAGGAAACATGAACTGACTCTGGTTCATGCCCACAACAGGTAATTTCTCTTAACAGTTAAGCAGATGATAACATTAACAAAGTGTTGCTATCAGGTTGGCAAACATTATATTAAGACTTTTGTGTTCTGGGTTGTAACATCATGAATTTCTGTGGGCAGATGCTGACATTTGAAGGAACTTTGCATCTCCAACTTTGGGTGCAGATGGAGGCAATAAGCTCCTCTTAAATATCAGTATTCACCCATAAAATTACAATATGTTGTGGCATAAGAAACCACAACCTTAACAGTGTTCACAGTAAAGACCTAACCTCAAAACTTAAATACTACTCGCACCATCACACCACAAGTAAACTATACAGCATTTAATTTCCAGCACTATGTAGTCTTGAAACTGGAAGTTTCATTAAAAACATGAAAAGAAAGGAAGATGAATTGGAAAGTATAAGGAAGGGAGCAATCATAGACAAATTTAAGATTTTATCCTGGTATTCACATGGAACACCTGAGGAAAATCACAACCTAAGACAGCCAGTGTTTCAGTGAAGATATAAAACAATTTCAGTCAGTCTGTGTTGTGTTTACACTTCCACAAGCTCACTTTACAGCCATACTATTAATATATCAGGCGTCTGTTATCTACAGAAGTGTGACCTACATGACCAGATCACAGTGTATGTATTAGCTAGATCGCATCATGATGCAGGACTGTGGTGCGAATAAGTGGACATAATTAAAGACAAATATTCATGATTGGTCAGTTTGGAGAGACATGGAAGGAATACACGCAAACTTGATGCCTGCCTGGAATGACTTGCGAAAGATTGTGAGAACCTACAGGACAACAGTCAGGTACCTAGCAGGACTGCATTGTGAGTCCAAACCCAGCCACTTGAACAGAAAACAACTCAGACAGCCGATCAATATGAATGTATTAACACGTCACCACAATAAGTTACATTAAGAAACAGCAATATAACATCAGTCACTTGTCATCACTGTGCCTGAAGCGTCTGCAGGATCTTTGCCAGTTGCTCCATCGCCTCCCTGAAACAAGATCAGAGGGTGAGCAGACTGCACTACAGTACACTCTGGGCACAAGCAGCAGACACAGCACACCAACTTGCCTGCCCGCTGGTGTTGAGACATCCAGACACTGAGCGATCGTTTTCAGCTGAGCAGTGAACATCTGCAACTGTGGCAGACACACACAGTCTCCCTGCTGCTGTGACTGGAACCACCAGCATGGGAATGTAGACACAATCTGCGCACAGAAAGTGACTGTGAGACACTGGCTTTAACACATGAACCAAATGCTAGACAAATGACAATTCCTAACCCTTACAAATCTTAATTCTCCTCAATTATACAAAATGTCCATTAAGTTACATTCTTATATACAGGGTCCGGCAAATCAACCTCCCGTATTTCACAAGGCAGTTACAAACAAACAAAGAAATATACAGAAAAAATACTTTTATTTGTGAACAACAAATACGATGCTATTTTACATTACTTGGTTTTAAAAATTATTTCCGGTAAATGGCGTCCTCCATTGTTCACACACTGACAAAGCCTTTCCCGGAAGTTGTCCATAGTTCTTCGTGTCATTTCCGGTGGAATGGCAGCCACTGCCTGGGTGATTGCCTCCTTAAGTGCTTGCAGGGTTGTGGGGCGATGTTTGTACACTTGCGCCTTTAAGTGTCCCCAAAGAAAAAATCACAAGGTGATAAATCGGGTGACCTTGGGGGCCAGGCGATGTCTCCTCGCAAAGAGAGAAGACGTCCAGGAAACAACTCTCTCAGAATTGCTAAAGAACGCCGTGAAGTGTGAGCTGTGGCTCCGTCTTGATGGAACCAGGCTTGTCCCACTTCATGGTCCCCAACAAACTGGTTTCACTTAGGTTGGAGGAAGGTCTCGATCATGTGACAGTAGCGATTCAAAGTAACCGTTACCGTTAGCCCATTTTCCTCGAAAAATAAGGACCCCACACACCAAATTCAGCAACGGCGCCCCAAACTGTCACACGAGGGCAGTGAAGTGGTCGTTGGTGAAGTTCCTGAGGGTTTTCTGCTGACCAGTAGCGGAAATTTTGTTTATTTACAGTACCTGACAAGTGGAAGTGGGCCTCATCAGATGAAATCAAAACAGCGCCAGAGGGAATGTTCTGAAGAATGTCCTCACACGCAGCTTTGCGAGTTTCAAAATCTCTCTCACTTAATTCTTGGGTAACCATCATTTTGTATGGGTGCATGTGTAGATTTCTGTGCAGGATTCTTCTTACACTCCTATCAGACAATCCCAGGGCAGCTGCATGTTTAAGTGCTGAACGCTTTGGAGATTGCTGGATGGACGCTCTCACACGTGCCACATTTTCCGGCGTTGTTACGGTCCGAGGTCGGCCAGGCGATTTCTTTTTCAGTGCAGAACCTGTTGCTCTAAAGTTTGATACCCAAACGTGAATAGTTTTTCTATCCGGAACAGGATCATGTAGGCCAAGTTTGAACCGAATGCGAAATGCTCGCTGAGTAGTAATCACCGATTCACCATTACGAATATACTCTTCCACAACAAACGCACGATGCTCACCGTGCCACGCCATTGCGACTACTGCAAATGGCACTTATACCGCTATCAATCGATACCCCCGCCGCTGTATCCCCACCACAACTCACACAGTGCCCTCTCCAAATATGGGAGGTCGATTTGCTGGACCCTGTACATCCTAAAATGACAAAACATGCATGTCACCTTCTTACGTATTCGTTTCTCATTTAGCAATTCTGTTTCCCTCACCATGCTGCACTTCTCTGCAGCATCCACAGGCTCACAGGTGCGCAGGGCTGCCAACAGATACCGATTCAGCAGTGAGCCAAGTGCCACGTCGCGCAGCACACGGTCAGCCACAACACCCTGCCACGCCAGCAGGTTCCGCAGCAATTTCACTGCCATCCCAAACTGGCGCTGAAAGAAGATTCCGCCACTGCCACCAAGCACCCTGTAACAGGATCCTCATGTACAAGCTGCAGTTTCCATGGCTCACTGACAGAGGCAGCTGCAACGTTACTTACTGCTTGGAGTATATTGGAATGAACATGTCGTTCTCAACTGCAGACTTCATTTTGGCAATGATAGCAGTTACGAGTTGTTCGAGCGCTCTGCTAGAGGGCAGCATTGTGGGGTACTCCTGCATGAGGCGGTTCAGAAGCCCCACCAAACGCAGCGTCTGTGATGTGGACAAAGGGTCCCAGACTGCCTCTACCAACTCTGTGGGCAGCAAGCAAGTTGTTATACTAACATTACAGACGATACCAGATGTAGTTCGATCCTCAAACGGTAATATACAAAACGCAGTGGAACACCTAGATAATGCTTCTCGATTTAATATTTTCCTGCATTCAGCACTCAGTTTCAGTAAGTCCAAGTCAATAATCTCAATATTAAATTACCTCCATTCTAGATTCTGCTCAGTTCAGTGTCCATAAACTGGCATTTTATTATACATGCTTACTGTTAAGAGAATAAATTAAGTCATATGCTTACGTAAAGTGGCAGTTCTACTGGGCCATTCTGAACACACTAAATTTCACCAAATTCTTCCCATTCTTAATTCTATCAAATCTGTCCAGTGGTCTTTGGACTGAAATACATGCACAAAGTGCTACCACACAAAATATATCTATATATATATGCTTGGCTGTTAAGCAGAACTACGTCCATAAAGGGGTCACTACAGAATTTACTCTTCAACAGCAAGATGAAAACCACTGTCCAGAAAGGTCAGATTCTCTGAGCAAATTCCACAATGTACAGAACACTTACGAGTCAGCTTTGGGAGAAGCACCTTTTCTATAATAATGGGCACCAGCTGCAGGTCTGGATCCTGCTTCAGCCCGTCCTCCGTCTCACCCTCCTTCAGCCCGTACAGGATCAGCGTGTCATACCACTTGGCACGCTCAAACTCCAAGCACCCATCCTGCACACAAAGTTGCCCTCAGTCCAATGAGTTCAGCTAACCAACAAAGATACACATTGCTCAGGCAACCAGTACTCGCACCCCTCCCAGTTACATTTCATGTTTCTGTCAACTCACTCAACATGAGCTTCTCAAGTGGACAGGCCATTCAGCATTATATGGCAGGACAACTATAAATGTTGAATTCATGAGGATACAAAAGAAAATGTTCAGGCAACATAACACAATTTGCTCAAAACACTGAAGAAAACCACAAAAAAGTTCTAGGCAAGGACAGCCACACCCTAACTACTCCCCATCACAACCCCCTATGCTAATACTGTTACTGCACAAATCCATGTAATGGATGAGGTGATCATGCGGACGCTACGTAGAGCAGAGAGGGGTGATGCACACAGAATTTTGGTTGGAAAATTTACTGGAAAATGACCACTTGAAAGACCATGAGAAATATGGGAAGTGGATTGAACTGCATCCATAGTAGGCTATGATAAAGTGGTTATAAGTGACAATATTATATTTAAGCATCCTGTTGCACTCTATACGATAAATGATATGAACTCCGTCCCAAGTGCAAACAATATATTATATGTCCTTGATCTTGCTCTCCTTTACACTACATATTTCGGCCTCAAACGGCCATCATCAGGTGTATACACTCACATTGCTGTTACACTGCACATAGTTTAAAAATCAACATCTACTTCGTTGATATCTGTCTGGTTTATAGATTATATTATTATTATAATATATTATTATTATTGCTAACGTGTGTAAAATAATCTATAAACCAGACAGATATCAACGAAGTAGATGTTGATTTTTAAACTATGTGCAGTGTAACAGCAATGTGAGTGTATACACCTGATGATGGCCGTTTGAGGCCGAAACATGTAGTGTAAAGGAGAGCAAGATCAAGGACATATAATATATTGTTTGCACTTGGGACGGAGTTCATATCATTTATGGTTATAAGTGATTTATATAACAAAAGGTCTACACCTGTTCAAATGAGTGAAGCACTTGAGCCATCCAGGGCCAATTCAGTTTATACTCTCACAACACAGTTGCCCAATATCCACTTTAATATTATCATCCAATCTATATAAACAATTTCACTGTTACTTTAGGAATGACTCATCATGGTTTCAAGTTAACGTTTTTACTTCAAGTCCATCCAAAGGCCAAGGCTGTGAGCTAACACTGGTTCATCAAGCAACAAGTACATAGGAAACACTGGTAGAATGGTGAGTGATGGGAGGTGGGATAGAACTGCTTTGAAAGAGATTAATTTGTCTGCAAAAATCTTGCACTTTGCATTCAGACTGAATGCAGACCTCTGCAGTGTGTAGCCAGCCATCTCAATATTTGTTATAGCAACAGTTCACCTGTAGAGGGTTCCACAAGAGCATCTTGAGACGCACAAGTGGCCCCAAGACCTTGGGCAAGCACAGGCTGACATATGCTTCTTGATATGCAACAGCATCCGTGTTGCGCCAACTCTCAAACCGTGAAGCCACACCACGTACAGAGCAGAATTCATCCACCACATCTGAGAATACCAGTCGCGCATCTGACTCGATCGTATCTGTAAACAACAGAGGAAAAGGATCAATCAACCCAAAAAGACCAACAGCAGAGCAGCTATGACTTGCTACTGGAAGAACTTCACCTTCAATATTGTCACATCACAGTGACTAAAGACAGGGTTCAGATTGGTAATTGGATTTACTGGACACTTACAGGTCGTAACTACAAATAACTATAACACTTCAATAGTAGAGTCAATTTACCGACTACACAACATGTTTTTTATTATCACTACATTTCGACCTCAAGAGGTCATCCTCAGGTGTACGAACACGGCTGTATAATTACACGCGGTCACATTCGCTTTTTACTCATTCGACCCTGTATCTTATCCAGACTTACGCTCAATAATATATCAAGTTCTTTTATAAAACATAAGTTAAAATATTATTCTAATTTAATTGTTAAAAGTTAAAATTTCGTGAATCGAAGTTCAATTCATGTCACTGGTCACACTTTCACCTACACCTGTTTTACAGTCTCATCCCACTCACACTCACCACTGTGTTCAGTTCTTTCTAACCAGTTTAATTATTATTATCGGTTAAAAGTTCGTGAATTAAAGTTCAACTTATTATGTTGGTTGCACTTTCACTTGTTTGTGAGGTCTCGCTGTTCTTCCGTGTCCTCTGATGCTGCTGGATGTTACGATCGTTGTCGTGATGGGCCCATCGAAACATGTAGTGATAATAAAAAACGTGTTGTGTAGTCGGTAAATTGACTCTGCTATTGATTAAACATACAACAGGATGCAAGAAACGATTAAAACTATAACACTTACTGATTTTCACACTACAAAGTGCCCCATGTTACTCCCTTCAGTCTATCTGCACTAGTCTTCACGTATTTATAACACAGGAATTGTAAAAGTCTCCCTACATCACACACTCCAAATATCACTGCACTATAGCACACATAGTCTTCAAATCACATGCTAAGTCTTCACAAGCTGACTTCTTGTACTCTTCTGTACTCCGTGAGCTTACTGTTCGCATGCTTCTGCTGATACTACAACCTGTAACTCGTAACTGCCTTGAATGAATTCTGTCACTCATACTTATATGGTCATGGACCAGACATGGACCTACAGTAAACACACATCATGTGATCATTATCCAGCCAGTCTATTGCTGCACTGGTCAGGATCTACAGAAAACACAGATTCCCCTACTGCTGCATGTTGGACCATGTTTACAGAGCTGTTGCCTGGCAATGCATTCATCAAATCTGTTACAATATTTTCCTGCTCTCTATTCTTGGTCTACCAACAGACTTCTACATGATTTTACAACACAAAGTTTGTACTAATTTCCATCAAATGTCACAGCTCAGTGCCTAACACTCCAGCCTCCAAGTCTTGACCAAGAGACTGGCTATTGTGACTCAGGTTTTCCTCAGCCACTCGAAGAAAATGCCAAGAAAGTATCTGAAATTAGGCTACAACCACTTTCTTGCACATCCTTTCTCATTCACCAATCATCCTACCACCTAACACTATGGTTTGATCTATACAGACAGCATCAATAAATAAACACTTCTTGCATATTAAAGGCTAAGGCACAATCTTCTTTTGTTATGAATGTTAGCAAGTAGTAACAAACAGGACCATAAGATGGCAACAGCTGGAGGTATAAAGTAAAAATTATAAAATTATGTTAAATCACTTTCCTTGTATTTATTCTGTTGCAGCAAGATATGTCAAAACCTTCCTGTATAGAGCTGAAGGACATCAAAATTGCTGGGTCTCTTATGTAACGGTTGTATTTTGACTAACTCCATGTGACAGGATTCTCCTTCAGCAAGTGGGGTTGCTTGTCAAGAGATTCTGTCTGGGAACTCACAAGAACCTTGCATTCATGCACAGCAACCCACGTTCAACTACACTGATGCAGGACATTTAATTCCTACTCACTCCTTTGGAAGGAGAATTCTTAAAGCATTTAGAAAGGGAAGTTTCAATTGAAGTGTAATAAATCAGGAAGAAACTGGAATTGTTTTTCTAATTTTCATACTATGTTCAGAAAAGTACACAGAACCAGAATATTGATCCACAATGCTTTAAAATTATTTCTGGCACAGTAAGCTTATAAAAATTATGAATAATGGCATCATGTTACCTTCGAAATTGAGCTGGATGTAACAGTCACAAAAACATTCCATTCAGAGTCCCAGACCAGAACAGAGAGTCCTTCCCCTTCCCACATAAACAGACCCAGTACAACACAAATTTCTTCCTGTCACAGGTTTCCATGCCCCAGCAGGTGACCTGACACAGTTCATGCCCACACAGAAACTGCTCCATGTATGCTTCTTTGACAATTGCCTCTCTTAGTTCTATATTGAAAAATCATTCTGAAATGTCCACAATTTCTGCCAAATTTTGTAGTGCCTCGATATCCAACACTGCCCATTGAGTCTTGCATATTAACCAAAACCAAGCCTTGAGTAAGAGAGTCATCTTCACCACTGCCACCATCTGACAGCATCAGGAAGAGCAGTTCACTGTCAGCATCAAATTCCAATCTGAATTCCCCCACTTCATCATGCAAGACAGCTCACTGCTTCTTTCTAGTGCCTGCCAGGGCTGCTACATGTGAACTGTAGGAGCAGTCTTATACAGAAGCATTACAGTTTCCCACACTGCAGGCATAACACACTCCTGCTGATTCAAGACCACATGTCAGGTTCAGCTTGTAGAGACTACACGTCCCTTCTCATGGTTACAAATACCTATGTGAAAGCAGCACTGTCTGGATCATGCAATAATGCTTGCAAAGCCCCAGCAGAATCAACTTTTGTGTCGATCAATATGCAGGGACTGCACACAATCAATCACTATCGATCTAACACATTTAGTTCATAAGAACTCCCCAGAGTTCAGACAGGTTTGTATAGTAATAGTGCACCACCTGGTGAGGTACAGAACTCTTTCAGAGAATTCAACTGAAATACAAATGCCAGGAGAAAATGAAAGTGAGACAACATACATATTTGCTCTTTTGTTTCATACCAAAAGAATTACTTTACTTTAAAAACAATGGTTCCAAATACAAGCTGAACTTTTTTTTAATTCACTTAGTGAGGGGTGGAGTTCAACTGGGTCCACTCGGCATGGCGGCCACTGATTGGCCTACTGTACCTGCACCAGGTGAGTATGATGATGGAGAATTTGGTGGAATGAAGATTGGCAGGGGAAACCGAAGTCCTTCGAGAAAACTCGCCCAGGTGCCACTTTGCCCACCACAAATCCCACTTGGCCAGACCCGGGATCGAACCCAGACCGCCGTGGTGGGAAGCCAGCGACTAATTGCTTGAGCTATGATGCAACCTTCAAGCTGAACTTACTGCTGCACTATGTGTGCTATGTATGTCAGACAGAAACTGCTGGCATGCTGTCAGATGGCGTTAAACGGTTCATTTTTACCGAACAATTTATGGGCACTAACAATCAAAACTGAAATGATTCTTAAGCCCCTCTGTCATATCATAAGACACAGTAGCATGTTTTAACAAACTTTTTGTGCAGCCTGTGATTTCCTTCAGTCCTCTGGACCTACTATACCTCTCTGATTCCGGAAGGCTGTGGCCTCAAGCTCCGTCATCTCGTCGTCACTAGACATTCCATCTACATGTTTTGCAGTGCTGCCACTCTTCATTTCCCTGGCTCTACGCCGTCTAGTGCGCCGCCCTTCCCTTTCCGCTGCTCGTCTAGTGTGCGCCTCTTCCTCCTCACGACTACGCTTCGGACCAGATGGTGGACAAGACCCTACAGAAAGATGCAATAGTCACTCCCTGTCTCACTGCACATTTCAGATGTCACTGAACATAAACAGTTCATGTGTAGCAGTGAGTCCACTCTTTGGATTCTTGTCAAAGGCACAAAACAAAAATGAAATTGCATTACACAATTCAGAAATCCTAATGTTTATGCTTTCCTTACAACAGTAAATTTTGTCTGAAGAATATGTCTCCTCATGTTGTCTCACATTCCACAACCGTCCCTCTCCAACCATGACTCAAATGTGAATGGATAAAGCAGCTGCACATGAACACAGAAACAGAGAACTGCACCAGTCTTCTCTAACAATGGAAAATACCGGTTGCCTCTAAGTCCTTCAACAATTAAAATTTAAAACAAAAGAAAAAAATTGTACCGACAAAACAATGTCCTCATACATGGCTATTTCCTTCTTTCCTTTGAAAACTGTTCCCCTAACATTTTATCCTTACACAGAGTGACAACCCCTTCCCTCATTTCCTCATGTCACTATATTTATCTACAGTCTGTTTATAACTCCAAAGCACTCCATGTGCAGCCCTCCAAATTACTTCAGTAGCTTCTACATGTGACACTCTTCCATGTGCAGATGAGTGTGCGACCACTGATTACATTCTGCAGATGTGTGTGCAAAACATATTACATTCTGCAGGTGTGTGCAACCTCTGATTACATTCCACAGATATGTGTGCACCCACTGATTACATTCTACAGATGTGTGTGCAACAACCGATTACATTCTGCAGGTGTGTGTGCAACCGCTGATTACATTCCATAGATATTTGTGCAACCACTGATTACATTCTGCAGATGTGTGTGCAACAACAGATTACATTCTGCAGGTGTGTGTGCAACCGCTGATTACATTCCACATGTGTGCAGCAACTGATTAAATTCTGCAGATATGTGTGCAACAACTGATTACATTCTGCAGGTGTGTGCACAACCACCGATTACATTCTGCAGATGTGTGCACAAACACTGATTACATTCTGCAGATGTGTGTGTGACCACTGATTACAGCTGCAACTCAACTGTTTCTGTGCCTTGGGATAATAAGCAGAAAATGCATAAGAAAAATCTCTCCTGTAAGCAGGTGTAATGATGTTCACTCATCATTGTAACTTTCCCATATCTACAACTGTTAAAGATTGCGAAGTTGTGTGCAAAAACATCTCGGGTTCCAATGACACGGTGCAAACATGAGCTGCTATCCCTGCTGGGTAATGCAAGTGCTTAGGCAACCAAGCAATGCAGTGAACTGTGCTTTCTCAATTATATTAAGCCCTCGATATCCTTTGTAAAGTTTGGTGCCAACCCTGGCCCAGGGTCCCAGATACTGACTGGCTGCCATGGAGGGTGCAAGCTCCTCTGCCTGATCCCGCACATCCTGCCGTCGCCGCTCCATCAGCTCATCTGCCCGCTTCTTCAACAAACTTAGCATGCGCTGCTCCAGAGCTGCGATGACAGATACCTGGGAGGGGCAAACAAACCGATACCATCATGCTCTGTGGAAATGACCGCCCCACTATGACAAGGAGCGGGCCATATGTATCCTGCTTGTCTCTGTCTATTCTGGCCCCACATGCACCGACCACAGTGGCATGCAGACTGTCAGATCTGGTGTGTTTGTCCCTGCGTGGAATGCAGTGTCTCAAAATTACAGGTACGTACAATCCTAATGCACAACACTGTTCCAAATTGTTACAAGTGATACCTGAATAAGTACAGCTCATGTACACAGGCAGATGTCACAAAACTGAGAATATGCTGGTTCATGTCACTGACAGAGACAACAAGGAGGTTCTTTTGTGTCTTGGTGACACTGATAATATCTGTCAACTAAACGGAGTCACACATGCTTCAGGGTACTAAGTACTATAATATTTATATTTGCTTGTTCACAAAATTTAATGCGGATCTCTTACACATTACAAACAAATTGCCTGATGTAGACAGAAGCTATGCAGTATTCTGGACACTCCTGGTGCGCCTGTATATGTAGTCGGTAAACAAAACTGATGCCAACATTTTTACTTGAAAGAAGAGACAAAATATTCACTAATACCACACTATTTCTCAAGCGCACCAATCAGGCCCTTACCTGTTTCATTCCTGTTTCTTCTGGTTAACCTTCATGATACACAGTGGCCATGACGTAGGGGGACCAGTAATACTGTACTTTCAAGAGGTACATACTGCTCCTGTCTTTGGGACAGAATGTACAGTGTCTTAACCCAGAATACCACAATATGAACTGTAGTCACATGACTCTGCTTCCATTCACAAAGAAACAAGGCCTCAGGAGGAGCCATGATACAAGGCCTCAGAAGGACCTCAGGAGGAGCAATGATACAAGTCCTCAGAAGGACCTCAGGAGGATCCATGAAACAAGGCCTCAGAAGGAGACATGATACAAGACATCAGAAGGACCTAAGGAAGAGCCATGAAACAAGGCCACATAATCATAGGAACTCCTCAAACCAAGAATCCTAGGATCATCTCAACCATAAAGTTCCCACCGTAGCAACATTCCTCGTTCTATAAACGTCTAAAGAATGCCACATACAGCCTGCACACAATACCTGTAAGCCACACGAGATGAAGAAAACATGTCTCAAAATATCATGCCACTGTTTTAAGGGAGTTCTTCATCAAGTGGGCGGGCACTACAACAAATACAGAGAAGATCTAGCAAAGCCCAGCTACACAGGGGGGTCAGACACGTCCGCAACACTCTGTCAGTTTGTTGTGATAGCCACACTGATCGAACACAGTCAACAGCATGAACGCACAGCAGCACCCTTCCCAACCTTTGTACTTTTGTCCGAATATTCTCAGGTTTCCACATCTGTAAAACCTACCAGCATGAATGCAGGTAACACTTTCTTTTCTAGGTACTACAACACGATGCAAATTTTGGATCATGTATTGTTTACCTTCAGCAGATGGGATGGAACACAACTCCTTTTTACACATAATTAGATTATGTGCCAGACCAAAATGAAGGTATAACAAAAATGTTAATTGAACGTATATCAAATAACCGAGTTACTAAGCTGAAAAAGCGGATGATTAACTATAATTCTGAAACAGAACAGGTGACAATGGTTGGAGTGACACTTGTGTCATTAGGCACGACTGCCTATGGAGAGGATTAGCTAACAATCCAACACAGCCATTATTACCATGCTCTACATCGCAATATTTGTTCATCCTTCAATAGTTCTCAAATTGCAGGCAAACTTATGCCCACTCTGCAGATGACAATGAACTTTTGCATGACTCTGAAGCATAGAACACAGAATGAAGTCAGTGCAATGTATTCAAGGTTCCTCCTAGCAGTGACTGAGGAACACCATTCAATCTTGGGCCTTTGTTTTTAATAAAATTTAGCAATGAATGTAACGATACATGCTGAACCTAACCGTGGTGAGAGCAGCAGGGTGACACAAGGATCGCAGACAGGACCTACAGCTTAACATGGACTCTGAATGTCGGGGAACCTTGTATTTTCATGTCAACAAAATTCTCACCTTATGAAAAGGGTGGGAAAAATCACGATGAATATACACATTCTGTCTGTGTGTGTATCTTGGGATGTTAAGACAGCCACATGCAGCTCAATGATTGTATAGGTCACACAGAAGGCTTGCTGGCTGATGAGTGTGGCTACCAGCCGTGCGGACCCCCCAAGTGTCCCCCCCGGTAGTGATTGAGATGTAGGAACCCACCTTCTCATCTAGACACTCTACCAAGTCTGTCACATACCCACGCAACTCTTGGTAGTAGCGAAACTTCTGGGCCAGCACAGGCTGCTCCGTCTCCAGGCGTTCATGCTCTGCCTTTGTCGATGCTAACTCATCAGTCACACGGGCCAGGTCCATCTGGTGACGACTATGAAGTTCCTGTAGGCTTGCCAACCTGCAACATCATGAGCCCTCAGAGGCAACCGCAAACCCTGTGGCATGAATGCCAAGGATACACTCATCAATCTGGAGTCGTCCTTTGTCCAGCCCAACAACATGCTTCATTCTCACGTTTACTGCATATGCGGGGGAAAAGGCTGCGTTCTTTCAAGATGTTAGGTTAATGAAGAAAATGTTTCAAATCATGCTGAAGTAGAGAAACAGCTCCAAAAAGCAGTCCAGACTGCGACGGTTTAGCTGACCTCAAGAGACTGCAATCTGAGATGTTAAGAAAATTGTGTGCATTTCAAACCTTGGATATTTAAGCCACATCCCAGATTATGTCAGACTGGTCAAAAAGCAGGGGCAAGTAGTAGGTCTCTAGTATATTAACACTACAATTAGAAAGCATTGTGCTAAGGGCCGTATGGCACTAATGTGCAGGTGACAGGGTTGTGACACTAGGCAATGCCCCAGTGTTCTCAAGCTTCCCATTGGCACAGGGCTCTGCAGCTGATGGCCCATTACTTGTGGGTCAAACATGGAGACCTCAAGTAACATAGCAGTCATAAAGAAATAATTAATATGTACAGACTTGACAGCAGGGAGACATCTATAAATAGGAAAAGAAACTCACTTCATAAAAACCAAGTGACTATCATATGGCCCCATTAAGCAATGTGATGCACTGCAGTCAAAATGCAAGCCTGCTGGGGAGCTAATTGCAGCAGAGAAGATGGTCATGAAGCATGGGTTATTTAACTCCCACACCTTCTGTTTAGGTTAAAAGGAAAGTAACTTTTACTTACAGAAAACTGTGCTTTAAAACAAAGACTGCTCTCTCTCAGAATGCAAACTGTACATATTGTAGCATGTAGAGCCGTTATTATGCAGTGACAATGAGATAAAGCTGTTACTAGGTAACAATCACAAGCATGTCTCCACAGCAATGAATCGACATGCAACAATGGAGGTACTGTTGGAAAGGGCATTTTGTACAGTGGTCCGTGCCCAGGGGTAATAAGGAGGACAGATGGAGCAAGAATTCGCACTTGGAAGGAAGCCGCCATTCAGACAGAACTTGAGGCTAGAAGCAGAAGAATACCCATTGTTAGAATCCATTACCAGGCAACTATAGTGAAGACACTGTGGGCTGGAAAAGATTTAGCATGATTTTGTAAAGTCTGTGTAGAATAGTGGTAGTGTCATAGTTATTTGTAGTTGCAACCTGTAAGTGGTCAATAAATGCAATATCCAATCAAAAACACCATTGAGTCACCTTAATAACTGTCAGTATTATATTCACGCACCTCACAATCCCATGGTGTGCTGGACATCTACCAATGGCAAGCGGGGCTAATGTCAGTGTTCCACCACACATAAAAATATACAGTACAGTCTAATACTTCTATTTAAGTTGGTGCATCACAAAATGAAATAACACGGATTCTCAAAGTTTCCTGCTCTGTAATGAGCTTTACAAATGAAATAATGTACTTCAAATTTACATTAAGTGAAGAGGGGTCTGGCTACAGATATGTGTATTCACATTATGGATGTGATAACAATGTGCAGCGCCTCTCGCTCTTGAACTGAAAGGGCACATTATGCAACTGGGAACAAAATCAACTCTCTCAGAATACAGAACCTGAAACACAATGCAATCACCACACAGTGCTCCCCCAGCTTACCATTCTAATCTAGCATCACTTAAAGAGATTTTCAATGGAAATTTCAATATATTCATGTTGTGGGATGTCATTATACGAGGGGGGACCCAAAAATAACCGGAAACGACCTGTTGCACGTGCATGCTTTGTAGTTACGAGTTGTGCTGCTAGGTGGTGTTAGCTGGGGGTTTCCCGCGACTGTTAGTGAGCTGGCGTCAGTCTGAGTTAAGTGGTTTGTCTGTGGTGCTCTGTTGTGTGCGTTCCTGTTTCAACCCTTTGGCGATTAGTGAGATGGCCGACCAGAAGGAACAAAGAATGTGCGTGAAATTTTGCTTTCTGTTAGGGAAAACTGCAGCCGAGACTGTTGGGATGCTTCGGCAAGCCTTTAATGATGATGCTTTGGGGAAATCACAGGTCTACGAGTGGTTTTCCCGTTTCAAATCTGGCAACATGTCAACAGAAGACATGCCACGCCCCGGGCGTCCTTCGACAGGAAGAAATGACGAAAACATTGCCAAAATCAAACGTGCAATTGATGAAGATCGTCGAAAGACCATTGACCAACTTTCTGAGGAAACGAACATCTCATGGAGCACGGTCCAGCGAATTTTAACCGAAGGTTTGCACATGAGACGGGTGTCTGCAAAATTTGTTCCTCGCTTGCTCGGAGATGACCAAAGAGAAAACCGCGTGAATGTTTGCCGCGACTTGAAGAGTGAAGTGCAGTTTTCCCTAACAGAAAGCAAAATTTCACGCACACTCTGTTCCTTCTGGTCGGCCATCTCACTAATTGCCAAAGGGTTGAAACAGGAACGCACACAACAGAGCACCACAGACAAACCACTTAACTCAGACTGGCGCCAGCTCACTAACAGTCACGGGAGACCCCCAGCTAACACCACCTAGCAGCACAACTCGTAACTACAAAGCATGCGCGCGCAACAGGTCGTTTCCGGTTATTTTTGGGTCCCCCTTCGTATGAAGAGACAACCACTAGTTGAACTGTCCTATAGTTACAATTACAAAAGACAAGTCCGTCCAATGTGACTATTTCAGTTTTTCACTTGATGATTCACTATCCTTACATGTTTGGTCCATTTGGATCATCTTCAGAGGCACCAAACACTTTTTAGAAACCACTATCACGACAGTTGTCATATCAAATACACATGTAATGTCCACTTACACAATGTTCCATCTATCACTCACAGCAGCCTTTCTGGTTATAGAAATATTTAAAGTTGGTTTAAAGTTTTAAAAAACTTTGTTAAAAATTAAAATACATAAACCATACGGTTCGTGTCAATAACCCCTGTCGTCTCTCTTCAAGGTGGCCGATGTTGTGCCTCCTATGTAACTTGATTAGGGAGATTCTTAACATTGTCTTAATATTAATAATCTCCCTTTACCACAGCAAACTGTTCCCCTGAAATGGTTCTCGAGCATACACTAAGCACAGGCAATTCCTATAAGAAATAAAGAGTTAGGACATTACAGGTAACTGTGGGTCACTCAGTGACACTGCCCCACTGGCTGCCTATTACCTGTCGCGCAACTTGCTCGCAATGGCTTGTGGCATAGCTGCGTCTGCCTGTGTGGGTGATGGGGGGCCAACACCATGCAGAATCATTGGGGGACACCCTGCAGCAATCGGCATGGGTTCCATCGTCAGGCTGGGAGCAGGCAATGGAGCAGGCATCATGGGAACCACAGCATACTGGTGAAAATGCAGAGACTCCTGCTGCACTATTGCCAACTGTGACACAAATGAGAAAGGTCAGACAGTAATGACTCTTGTGCAATGCGACAACCTCTATCCATCCCAGGATGCTCAGTGCTCTGTACAACATGGCAATGAATCATAACATGTAGTTCAAATGAATGTTGTGTCTAAAACTGACACTTCTGTTCAGGAGACAACTGACTCGAGCAGTACATCTCAACTGGAACCTGAGGCGAGTGCCCATATCATGGCCATCAGAGCACACCAAAACAGCCACCATGTTACTGCCTCCCATATTTTCCCACAAAATCCATCATGTAAAAGTCACCCATTTTTTTTCAGATCAATCTGTAACTGCCCAACCCCCCAAACAACAACCCTTACACAGAAACATCCTAGTACAGTCACCTCAGAAATTCAACTGGCCACAACAAGATGGTGAAGTTTCACTGGAAGGATACTTACCGTTACTGTTCTCAAATGGTTTTCCCCCCACAATAGAACCACAACTAGAAGTGCCCAAGCAACATAAAGACATGAGTGGCTGGGTTATGTCACTGTGTGCTGAGCTGGTGGGGGGGACCAACTGCCTAAAACTTCAGGACAGAAGTGAGTCAACTTCAGAAAATTCTGGTTCTTTTGAATAAGGGTGAAAGATGTGTATCACACAGTACAAAAGTGGCCAATCAGAGAGCAGAAGAAAAGGACTGGGCCCAGGCAGGCCAATGGGAACCACATACCCTGAAACATGGAAGTACTGCTACAGAGAAGAAGCAAGAAAGCACCCACCTGCCAGGCTACAGGGTGTCACAACCCACAAAACCTCAACATGAATCTATGAAGCCTCAGACCTTGTAACAATTACCTACCTGCGCACCACTCACACCCTTCCTGATCTGTTGCGACTCCCATTCATCATCCTCTCCCTTTCCACTCTCCTCCCCTGCATCTGCAAACACAGAAGCAACCTTTACAGTTTGTCATCTCACCTGCTGTGGTAGCGTCAGTTCAGCAAGCGGTGTTACTTACCTGTGTCCTGAGCTGCCATGAATGCTTCCCTACGCCGTTCCCGGTCTCTGGCAGCCGTGTTCACTGCCATTGTAATTCTCTCTTCATCGCTCCCTTCCTCATCCTCCTCGCGCATCAATCGCTTCCCTGCATCAGGCCTGCCAACGTAAACATCACCAGCTGAGATCATGTGAAACCAATGTCTGTCAAACCACACGTGAGAGTGACATGCAGCAAACATGCACAAACCACATCTCACAATTCGGCTGCTATATCGAAACGTCAGAAAGGGCGAACATTTCAGATACTGCAACTGAACCAAAGCTAACACCTCCTATACATAAGTGAAGACTTCTGATGTGAAAATGAAAATGGAGTATTACTGTTCAAACTGCTGCCGTGATACAGACATACATGAACAGCATCAATACTGACCTGTGGAGCAACAACAACCCAACTGCCCACTGCCTAAGATCAGTCCATTTGGACAGCAAACAAACACAACTTTCAAGAGAGACATCTCAGTTTTCTGGTACACTTAAGCCAAAATTAAATTGCAACATTTTTTCAGTTTCCTTATACACTTCCGGGAAAACTGAATAAACTCACTTCTTGTTGATGGAATTGTTCTCAATTGGGATGTAGTCATTCCCCATCTCCCGAGCCAGCTGTCTACGTTTGCGTGCAGCGTGGATCATGGCTGCGTCTGGAATCCGGCCACCTGACGACACAAGAGCATGTTGTGCTCACAGAATGGCACCCAACTGAATCAAGTAAGTTACAATGGTTTGTATTATGCCTAGTACTCTTAATCTTTGGATCCTCCTAAAGCAGTAAAATTGAGAGGGCCTTGCCCCTTCCATGGCAAAAAATCTCAATTAAAAATACAAACCACTCCGTCCAATGTGACATGTAAGTTTTTACTACGTTAAAACTTATTTCCCTTACATGTTTCGGTCCTTACGGGCCATCTTCAGAGCGAACAGCATTACAAACTGGAAATTACCATCGCAATAGGTGTTTTGATTTAAAATACATACACTTATATCCTATAATGCACAGTACGCATTAAGTCGAACGTATCACAATCACAGCAGCTTCCTGGTGTTGTAAAGTTTTTAAAAGTTTCTAGATGTTATTTAAAAAACCTTTATTGTCAATAGTTAAAATTTTTTAAACCACATAGGTTCGTGTCCGTACTCCTATCGTCCTTCTTGTATGGGGCAGATTTTGTGCCGCCTTTCTATCTTGATGAGGAGGTTCTGCAAATATATTATGGGTATTGTACTATTTCAGTGACCCTAGTGTCTATACATATACATATATATATATATATATATATNAGAGTTCTCAAGGCAGCAGCCTGCGAGTTGAGTTGGAATATAGCAGCCGTCGCGGAAAGAAGAACCGGACGTGTGTGTAACTGTGTAACTGGGAGTGTGTGAGACAGAGAGACTTGTACAGCTCCCGTACTGTGAATATGTGTAGCCTACTGAAGATAGAGTGAACTGATTTGCGAATAGGGTTATAAATCGTGAAACCCTGCAACAGTGCTAACAGATTATTGCGAACAGGGTTATAAAGTGTGAAACCCCGCAACTATGTGATAATTAATTGTAGCCGTTACTTGTAGGTTGTTGAATAAACCAGTTAACAATCCGAACGGCGTCTTCAGTAACGCAACACGTTACAATATATTTATTTACTAGCTGTACCCGGCCACGCGTTGCTGTGGCAGATTGACTGAATTAAAAAATTCTGTTGGATATTGGAATTTTCCTTGCGTATTCGACGGAAAATATCTTCAGCCATGTGTGATTTATATTTCTCCCATAACTCTGTTGGAGATGAAGGAGAGCAGGCGGTCAACATGATTGCAAACAATGCACAAATTTGATGTGGATGTGACATGTTGCACGCGTCAGTAATGCATGTAGCATGTTTGGGTATGTCACGCTACAAATAACTTTACGCCGTATTAATTATAGCGAATCTTTATTGTAATTCACTTGCACACTTTACAATTATCGCCACTTGCAGTATTAAGAGTTACTGGTTACACAATCTCTCGGCCAATACTTCTGTATCTCTTGGTGTCTAGGTTCCAACCTTCTTCAGCGGCAGCTAATCCAAGACTGACTGGGCGAATGAATTCAACACCCTTTTATACCCTTGGCCGCTGCTATGCAAATAAGCCTATGTCATAACTGCGGAAACACTGCTTTGTTGATTCCACGATTCCTATGAAACGACCCATTGTTACTGCGCTGTCTCTGTGGGAACGCTCCGTGTGTTCGTCATAACCATGGAGATTCGATACAGTATCGCTGTTGTTACTTCCTATGCAATGGTCTGTTCTAGAGTTTCCATAGGTGTGACTCTTCTGAATTCCAAATTCCAATTCTGTTTTTCAAAAGAAGCATGTTTTTACCTGTCACAGGTGTGACATCTATATAACAGGTATATAAAAACACGCGCGCATTCGAATGCAATGTTGTGTCAAAATTTCGAAGCAATCGGTGAAGAACTTTCGGCGATTTAAGATCCTGAACAAACGAACATTTACATTTTTATTTATATAGATTTGAGGATTTTGTTTCAGCCTACCTTGCTGTTGCCCAGGGTTTGTTCGTGGCTTGCTGTGTTGTTTTCACTGTTCTAGAGTGTGCTGTGTCGCATGATTTATACTTGTTGTGTTTATGACGTTAGTGTGGGTGTGTTCTGATGATGTATTACACTACCACTTGAGAAAAATGCTAAAAACAAAGAATTAAACACTATCATTAATATAGCACTAAATAATGGCTATAGAAAGGAAGACATCACACACCTATATCATCATCATCATCAGTAATCTGTCAGACGACAGGTCTACAGTCTCTTCCAAAACAATTCCTCCACTTAATGCGATCTTGAGCTTTCTCCTTCAAACAATAGTATCCTCATGATTTGTTTATTCCGTCTTGCAGTGCATACACTTAGATAAGTGTATGCACAAATCATGAACTTAAATCAGTGCAACAGGACGCTAAAATATAACATTAATAGTATCCTCTTCTGTCCCCAAGGTCATCCAGCATCTTCTTACGTCTTCTTGTCACTTCTATCCGCCCCTCTATCTTTCCTTCAATAACTTCTTTTAGAAGGCAGTTTCTGTGTAAAACATGACCAATCCAATTAGCCTCCCGTTTTCTTATTTCGTGTAGGATATTCCTCTGCTCACTGACTCTAATTAACACTTCTTCATTTCTCACATAATCGGTCCAACTGATCTTCTCCATCCTTCTCCAACACCACATTTCAAAACTTTCCAGATGTTTCTGATCTACTGCCCTAAGTGTCCATGTTTCAGCCCCATACAGAGCTATGCTCCAAATGTAGCATTTCACTAGTTTCTTCCTCAAATTTAAGTCCAATTTGCTGGTAAAAAGATTCTTCTTCTTGCTAAATGCAGCTTTTGCCATGGCAATCCTGGATTTAATTTCACAAGTACACCTTCCATCATCTGTTAACAAGCTACCCAAATATTTAAAACATTTCACATTCTCCAGTTGTTTTTGGTCTATCTTTATTGTGACTGGGGTTGGTTGTCTCGAAATTTTCATTACTTTTGTTTTCTCCACATTCATTTCCATGCCATAGCACCTTCCAATTTCAATTAGTCTATCAATCATGCCCTGTAGCACAGTTTCTTCCTTAGCCATTAACACAAGGTCATCTGCATATTTCACAGTTTGAATAATTTGCCCTCCTAATTTGAAGTCTCCAAGCCCATCCAGAGCTTCTTTGGTAAGGCATTCCCTGTACAAGTTGAACAGAATTGGTGATAAACAGCATCCTTGTCGAACTCCTCTTCCAATCTGCACACTTCTTGTCTCCCCTCTGTCCAGTCGTACTCTAACTTTCTGATCCATGTACAATTTGCTAATCAATCTTCTTTCACGCCAATCGATACCTGTTTCCTTTAGGATCTGCATTAATTTGGTCCAGTTTACACGATCAAATGCCTTCTGCCAGTCTATGAAGCAAACACACAGTTCTTCATCTATCTCCAAAGTTCGTTCTGCTCTAATTCTCATCATCCCAATTGCATCCCTGGTCCCTATATAACTAACTTAAACAAAAGATAAGTAACCCGGATAACAAAGACAAAAAAGAACAACAAAAATGGGTCACTTATACTTATACAGGAAACTACATACGAAAAATCACAAAACTATTAAAAAACACTAACATAAAGATAGCCTTTGTTATTTCGTGGAGGGGGCGTGGAGGTAAATCCCCACCGCTTCCACCACTTTTGCGCTCTTACGTCCTTACGACAGGGGTGGATGGGTTATCTCACCGCTGTCTTCACTGTTATGCCGACGCTACACCTCTATTATGCCGTGGTGACAGGGGGCGTGGAAGTATCCCGCTCTGTCACCCGGTTT